TCTAGAAATGAACTACTTGCCTCAAGAAGCAACTGCAATCAGAATAATCAGTTTAAAAAGTATTACAATAACAACATTGAACAACGACATACATTTTGTATATTTTAACCAAGTGAACATACTACTGCAGCAGAGTTAAAATGATTAGCAGAAATGGCTCTACAAAGTGATTCCTCTTTCAAATGTTTGTATAGCAGAAGAGTTAACAGAGTGTTCTTAAGATCCAAGACCAGTTCGGGGAAAGACCCCTGTCATTTTCCAAATTGTTAGCATTCTCCAAAATGTTCTCTTATTGGCGGTTACTCTCTGTATCCCTGAGGCACACATTGCTTTCAGTATAACAGGATAACTATTAGCACACTGCAAACTCATAGAAGCATGAACGCAAAGAGGCTGTCATTTCCCAGCAAAGGGAAAGGCAAAGATTTAGTGAGTCAGTCCCAGCAGACGTGTCAGAGTCAAAAAAGAACTGCACTCATGAGGTCATTCTTAAGATTCCTTACTCATTTTTATAATGCAGCCAGTAGCCACAAGCAGCAAAATAATGCAGAGAAAGCAAGGTATACCACAAGTATATGTTGAACATGCTGAAACATTTCACATAAGTATACTTTTTATAGTAAGGTAATTACCCAACAATAATTAAAAGGGTTTTAAAAAAGATATTCAAATCCATATTAGTTGAGGCATCTTGGAGCAGAAAAGCAGAAATACGTGACACTTTATGTACATTAACAATCATTCTCACTTTGAAATATTAAAAGTAGCTCATGGTTGTACATATTGCTGTATAATAGATGTGGGATTTTTTATTTTAAATGTTATAAAATGTAAAGTAGTAATGGCAAAGGAGCCTGTAGTGAGGAAGTAGGGAGGCTGGCATTGATGTCCTGTAATTCCATATGTACAGGGTATCCCAAAAGTCTCCATACATACAAAAAATTATCTCATTAACTCATATTATGAGTGGGGAGAAGACTTTGTGTGTATGTGTAGAAAGAGTTGGCCAACATGTAGAGAATATTTAGTAAAATGTGTAATGAATAATTTGGAAATAAAGGTAAATTTAGCTACAATTTTCCCTATGTATTGGGACTTTTGGGACACCCCATATTAGTCTCCTGGCTGTCATACTGATCTCATGGCTTCATTACTTTCTAAATCACTGATTTGGAACACGTATCCAGCTTATTTCTGATTTCAAGATGACTTTTCTTAATTCACATTTATTGTTTTTATCACAGGCACTTATAAAGCACTGACAATTTTTACACAGCACTTTACATATATATTATACATTCACATCAGTCCCTAACCCTCAAAGAGTTTACATTCTAATGTCCCTACCTCACATTCATACATATACATACTAGGGCCAATTTAGACAGGAGCCAGTTAACTTACCAGCATGTGATTTGGAGTGCGGGAGGAAATCCATGCAGGAACAGGGAGAACACGCAAACTCCAGGTAGGAAGTGCTGTGGTTGGGATTCAAACCAACGACCCTAGTACTGCAAGGTGGAAGTGCTAACCACTTAACCACTGTGCTGCCCAACACAGCTGTTTTAGGTCAGTCTTAATTATTGAAGCCAGAGACAACCATATTTTATTAGATTTTCTAAAATGCACACACTTATCTCAATGCACATGTACCGTTTAACAGAATTAAAATTGTTGCCTTAACCATAAGGCTTTAAAAATGATTGACCGACTAAGCAGTGAAGTAAGAATTAGGATAACCTTGAACTTGCATGTTAAAACATGTCAGCAAAGGCAGCTGCCATATCTCTATCCCTACAGGCTTACTCTAGGCCTCAAAGCTAGCTTGAAATTTCTCACTTCTACCCAATCACCAATTCCATACTAGTACTGCACACGTCATAACAATTATAAGAATACAAATACCACATTTAATGTTCTTATTTCACTCTTTATAATGCTCTAAAATGATACAACAGCCTCAGCTTAAAATACAGCACATTTCTGCTTCCTAATTACAGATGTCGTAAAAACCTACAGCCTTCAAAGAATCATACCCTAGGTATAAAGGCTGTTATTATCATTTTGTTTATGGATTATTTTATTACAATTGATTTTTATAACAACATCATTCCCTAGTTAATGATGGATCAAATCACTTTTAGCTGAAATAACAAATTATAAAGCTGCTAGTTGTTTTCAGTGTGCAAACTGAAGAATTCCCTACCAAGTAATAAAAATGTAACTCTCAGTGGGCTGCTAGAGTCCCGGATGAAGTCATCATGGAAAAGAAATGGAAAACCGAAACTGTGAAGGTCAACTGAGGATACACTGTATTTAGTAACCAGTTAATTCCACTGTGTCAGGCTCTGCCCAAAGGGGATATGAGTACATGAGCACCAACGTGTATTTACATTAATAGAAGGATTAACGTTTTTTTACATTAAGTTTGACAGAAGGCATAGTAACATTACCATTGTGACAGAATCTGTGTGTTGATGATAGAGGAGATAAAACTGAGAGATTTGGGGATTTTGACACATAACTGGTGGGAATTTTGGGTCACATGGCCACTGCAGGGCTGTAAATATGTCTGAATAGGAACTCCTGTGGTTCGTGGTATGATAACCTCAGCCAGCATAACATGAAGGTTTTTAAACACTACTGTTATAGTGCCACATGTACAATGCTTACAGAGGAATCACTGTTTCTGTTATACTGACTTGAGTATATGGGAATGTTACCTAAACGTGAAAGTTTAGGCAGTATTATAAGGTATATATTTCTCTTGAGAAAATATTGCATATTAAAAGTACCGATTTGGACAGAGAGAGAGTATTGATGAAATAGCATACATTTATACACAAATGGCATTAAGTATATTCTTTGCTAAACCCATGTTTTATTATAGGATTGGGTAAAAGGAAAACACAATGTACTACACTGTACTACCATTATGTGGACTCAGCTTGATCTGGCTTCCTCTGTGCCATGGATTTTCTCTACAAACAGACCGCCTTAAGGATGATGCAAAGCTACTTTCAAGTATACTCATCACCAGAATCCAAGAACATCCAATCCAGGTAAGATAAAGCCAGACAGGAAATGTCAAGGGACGGCACCAATATCGAGTCCAATATTTATTGAGCTGAGACACTGACCAACTTGAATAATATGAAAGAAAAATACCTATCTATAGAACATTCAGTTTTGCAATATTGTGACCATGAAAAAACAAAACTTCAGCAAAAACTTTTTTTGGATATAGGGTGGAGATCCCTATTGTTTTAACTATCTATGTAGCACTTCAGAAATTTCCTGTAATAAAAATAGAATGGAGTGAAGAAGGTTTGAAACCTTTGTCAGTATTCTGTTGCAATTTGAACCACTGATAAATGATAAGTGCACTTTAAAACAAATTGCATTTATCCTTTGTGTCCCTTATCCCTGTCATAATCTAACCCATCCTACCCCTCTACTTATGCAACCTGTCTTAATCTGTCACTGTGGTTCCACTATTTGTTTATATTTAATTGCAGAAGTCTTCACTGTCCTGGTCAATTTCATGCATTAGTTCCCTAAAGACTTCTATAGGACTGTGTCCCAAGACCACAGACAATCATAAAAAGTCCCATAGACGTCTATTGGGCTGAAATAAGGAGGCTTCTAATGAAATAATGGAAACATGGGTGTTGGCTTAATGAAAGTTATGCATCTGAGGATTAAGTTATGGGGACAATAAGGACTTTGTTTTAAAGTGCACTTATTCTTAAGATGATTTACCTTCACTTCTTGTCCAGATGACAAGTGTCAGACAGATTTGGAAGTGCAAAAAAGTCTTCTCAATGGGGACACAGACATTTTCATCTGATTCATATGTCACTAAAACTTGACTTAATAGGAGAAGTGAATTAAATCAAATAAAAATAAGCTGGTAATATTTATACTACTTAATGAACAAGCACAGACTTAGAGAAAGATGCTTTAGCAGGAGGTATGGGTAAAAGCCCTCTATAATACCTATGTACTGAACTTCTTATGGCCCAGTATAATACAGCAGCCTGGCTGCCAGTACCATGGATAAACAGGATGAAAAACAGTTATAAAACATAACTGAACAATAGGTGAGCAATGGTGACAATATTGTACAGGGATGTCCTCACACCATAAACATTGCTAAATGTCACAGTCAGGGGTCAGGCTTGGAGACCAGTAGCAGAAGCGAGGCTTCCACCGACCAGTAGGTTAAGTATACAAGCAAGTCACCTGGTGGATGACATGGACTCACCCAAGGTGCAGGGTCTAAGCACCCACCAATATTCACCAGAGCTCCTGGTGGAGATGGTTTTGCTGCCTTTTAATACCACGTTGCGATCCTCATGATCACCCCACCAGGGGGTGAGAAAGCTGGGGTCCAGTAGCAGATATAGCAGGTAGGGATCAAGCAGAAGCATAGTCTGTAAACAAGGCAAAGGTTGGTAATGAGTGGTTGCAGTTTGGGATCAAGCAGAATCATATTTGAGGAAGAAGCCAAATGTCAGTACCGAATGGTATCGAAGATACGGAGGGCAGCAGGAGGGACAAAAACAAGATATTGGCTAGAGAAAGCACAATAATCTGGCAGCAAGTGCAAAGGTCATGGCTTAAATAGGAAGGAGTAAAGAGGTAGGATTGTCCAAGGAATTGTCCAGGGAGCTGTCCAGCATCTCAGGTGGCTCAGCAAGAAAAAATACTTCTTGATGCTGCAGAGGTTGAAGGTTCAGATCCTGTTTCTGACACTGTGGTTTATCAGCCATAGACTCTTTTATTGCAATGCTTTCAAATGCTATTTATAGTCCTGCTTGCTTAAGGATTTTATTACAAGTAGGAAGACAGTTGACATAAAAATGAGTGGTATACTTAACAGTTAAACATTGATTAACAATTGTTATACTTTTCCACAGTTCAACTACCCAAGCAGCCTGAAAAGCAGTGGCTTGGATTTCATTCCGGATGAGCAGATACTTGAGAGTTTGGAGAAAATGGATGAGACTCTTGAAATATTCCAGAAGATTTTGGCCAATATCCCCATGGAAAATGTAGAACAAATGCTGAGTGACTTAGAAAACCTTCGCAGCCTGCTACAGCTACTCAACCGCATTATGGGTTGCATAGTCACAGAGCCCAGACAAACCAATGTAATAGAGAACTTAAAGGAACAGTATGAAAATGCCTCCTATACCATGGAAAAGGTGACACTTGAGCGTCTTCAGAAATCATTACACAGCATCATGAAGCACCTAGATTATATTACAGACTGCCAAAAAGTAGTTTAAGGATCTACAGAGCCATTAGTGAGATTTGTTTCATCCAGAGACATAATGGAATGGTTTGAAGTGGACAAACCTTTGTAATATTTATAATTCAGGTACTCTTGTTGCTGCAGTCCTGATGAAGCTGTGCTTCTATTAGGTCACTCACATCATAATAAGAAGTGTTATATTCTGTAATTCAACAAATGTTTGGAAACAATAGTTAACAACACACTAGGGTTGATTTACTAAAACTGGAGAGTGAAACATCTGGTGCAGCTGTGCATGGTAGCCAATCAGCTTTTAACGTCAGCTTGTTTAATTAAGCTTTGACAAACTGGACGCTGATTGGTTTCTATGCAGATCTGCACCAGATTTTGCACTCTTCAGTTTTAGTAAATCCATACCATTGACTACTTTTGCTGTTACTTTCCCATATACCTTCAGCATAGTCAGTATAGGCAGAAGATATGATTTTTCTTTTTTAATGCAATCTTTATTTAACGATGATATCAAAGTGACTTTTCAAACACTAAAATGCACTAGTATGTAGATTAAGAAATAGTATTCCCTTTGGAACAAAGTGCCTGCATGGATTTATGCACTGTTTTAGTTTAATACATTCCATGTAATTCCATGTGAATAAGGTACCCTAGGAACCAACAACGTCTTCCAATAGAAACCATATGTTTACATTCTAGAATTCGTTTTTGTCTGAAAATGGTAGCAGCTTACTTGGGACAGAGTTCAAGCTCAACCTTGAGAAGGTTAAGTATAGGTGCCCTTTGCACCCTAACATTTAAAACCTAATAATAATAAGGCCATATTTTCAGTCCCCTGAATTAACTTGTATCTTTTTCTTAAAAACATGAAATCAATGTACAACTTCAAACAGCATCCAGCTTGATGACACCTCTTCTTTGATGTATCTCTCATATTTTTGAATTATACCTTTTCATATCACAAACATTTCATTCTATGTTTAGCCTACCAAGAATACTCAAATGAGTTGATTTAATAAAGGAAAATAGGTGTTTCACTTTACAGGGGAAGTTGCCCTTTGCAAGGGAATTTTCACGAGACCTTAGTGAATGAGGGGAGACACTGCTGACTTCCATCACCTTTTCATGTGCAAGCAAAAATTCTGTTATTTTTTATTTTCCTTGCATGTGATTAGGTGTTCTTTGCAAGGTGAAACTTCACCAAGCAACTTCCCTTGCAAAGTGAACAACCTATTAACCTTTAGTAAATCACCCCATAAAGTTTCCTTAATCTCAGCCATCTCCTCCTTAAAAAGGGATAGGGCTGCTATTAAAAAATAAACAGACATCAATATAGTAATCCAACCCTGGACAGCATGATTGAAAATAAATTAAATCCCCCTTATTACATAATTTTGGCAAATCGAAAGGACAATGTTGTGTACCATCCATGATAGCTTTTTTTTTTAAATGTGCACTAGAAGTTAAACCTTCAGAACAAGATTTGTGGGATCTGACCCCTTCTTTTTGGCACAGGCAGTACTGATACACAAAGGTTTAGCAAAACATAAAAAAAAAAAACTGCGTGGACGTTTGCTTAACATTTTGCTAAATCTTTGTGTTGCGATATGGAGGGTGTAGACCTCTATAAAGCTTGCCCTAAAAATGTTTCGCTTAGTGCAAATAAAACATATCATGGACAGTACTCAACTTTATTGTTGCAAATGCAATAAGAGTTTCAATCACTTACAAAAAATGTGCAAATTGTTAAATCTATGGCCTGCATAAAATATATCTGAAGCAAGTCCCCTTTACTTTCAGCCCTGTAGGAACAACAAGAGGTGAGAGGAAACCATTCCAATGTGAGGGGGAATCTCCTCTTAGATACTTATCACCAGGTCAAGTGTTCCCATTGCAATATTTCCCCTTTATTCCTGGTCTGGTGACACCAGTCTTTGATTTTTCTTTACTTTCAGTTTTGATGACAAAGTCAACAAGACATAACAAACCTTGAATCTCTCCACTTGGGTCAGAGACAGCAATAAAAGCTGGGCGGGCATTCTCTTCGCTCACCAGTCTATCCAAAACTAAAAATAGTGTTGGATTAGATACCCTTTAGGACTTTTGCTAGACACAGAGAAAAGGAAATCTATACCAAAGAGATATTTACTGTTCCACACTATTGCAAATAATAAGGCTACTACCATAGGAAACATACAACAAAGTGAATTGCACTATACTATGTACTGTAGCACTATGATATTCCCCCTAGGATAACAAATTCTGTTTTGTTTCTCTCTTCAATTCATTATTGTAGTTTTAAAATTTGTACACTAAACTTAGGTATTTTATTAGTGATGTTATATTTATGTAATATTATAATAATTTGTATTTAATTTATAGTATTTTAACTTTATACATTGTAACTCTAAACTTATTTATATTTAATGTATTTTAAAATGTTTGTTATTGAAAACTTGAATTTTGCAATTTTGGAAAAGTAGGCATGGTATGCCGGTGTTTTTAAAATGTTTATTGTATGTATTTATTTATCTGAAACCCATATGTAAATTAAACCCATTTTACATAAAAAAATCCTTTGGTAATTGTATAGGTGCACAGTAAGTACAATTCCTTAACCTAGGTAGCAAATTGTACACTAATGTTCAATGTGTACAGTGTGGTCTTTGTCATGTATATTGAACATCTCAACAAGGGTGCTTGTGTGCTATCTATTCTGTTAAGGTGTTATCGTTTTTTTCTAAAGGGCCAGTATCACAAAAAACTCACAAACAGTGTGGGGTGCCCCTCAAAATGAATTAAATTTTACCATTTTATCCATGTCAGAAAAGGAGTGGCAGTGAGTATGTGCTTCCTCCTATCTGAACCATATAAGAACTTAGTCCCAATATTGAGGGGACAAGGGCTTCACCCCCTCATTCTGTTCCCTAAAAGAGTTGTAAGGTTTTGTGGGAGGGGGACACACTTATTGGAATCTGGAAGAATAATATATTTGAAATATATTTAAAAAATATTCTTCCCAAATATATTGCCATATATTTGAAATGCTACAATTTTGGCCATATTCAATATATTTAAAATATATATATATACATTGCATCTTGAAATGCGTTTTTTATTACAAAATATATGAAAAAATATTTTTAAAAATACATTTCAAATATACTGTATGTCTTTAAAAATACAAATCTACATTTTTGGAATGCATTTACCAATATATGTAAAAATATATGTTAAAATTACTTTTTAAGAATATGTAATTTTTAAAATATATTCTTCATATTTTTTTTAATATTTAAAAAATCCATTTTAACATATATTTTTACATATATTTTTAAATGCATTCCAAAAATGTAGATTTGTATTTGTAAAGACATACAGTATATTTGTTGTAATGTATTTTTAAAAATATTTTTCATATATTTTGTAATAAAAACGCATTTCAACATGCAGTGTATATATATATATATAAATATATTGAATATGGCCAAAATTGTAGTATTTCAAATATATGGCAATATATTTGGGAAGAATATTTTTAAAATATATTTCAAATATATTTTTCTTCCATATGAGCTGCCTGCATGGGACCTTCAGGGTAGCAAGATGTTAGATGCCTCTATTTGACATTCAACTACTCGTGGTCATTACTGTCTTCAGACCAGGGGCGGACTGACAACTCATGGGGCCCCCGGGCAATAGGGGATCATGGGGCCCCTGTGTCCTTGCCCAAACTCAAAAAAGCCTATGAAAAAGGTGCCAGGGGCATCTCATGGGGCTCCCTACTGACCCAGGGCCCTCGGGCAGTGCCCGAGTTTCCAAATGGTCAGTCCGCCCCTGCTTCAGATATTTGCTATTATAAATTATCAGTATTTTTTGCAGTTTGTTTCCGCATACACATATCACCTTCTACTCAGGCTAGTGGTTCTTAGGTGTCTGCTCTTTTTAAACAGCACATATCCTTGGTTTTTTTCTGCATTTAATTTTCAATTATTTATTTATTTATTCTATTGAAATTATTTTCCTTTCTATACTCCCCACTTGTTTGGGGTTTTCGCAACTGGGATGAGTGCCAAGGAAAGTTTTTACTTCTTTTTGCAATAAATGTGTGCTGAAATATAAACCAGACAGGTACATAATAGGACCAAAATAACACCAATAATTGTCCAAGCTATTATAAAAAGAGGCAAAACTCAAATCTGTCCATGGCAGCAAAGAAAGGAAACAAATAAAAATAAGTGTTGTTTCAAAAAATCTCCAGACCCACTGTGATGTGGATAAGTCTCCTCACTCAGGGACAAGCGAAGGACGCCAGTGGGGGGACCCTGCAATGCTCCCACACTCAAGACACCTCCAAAGAAAGAAAAGATGATGAAATCTAATAGCCCTATCTTGCAGAGAAGACAGGATAAGTACAAATATGGAGAGTATAAAAAAAAAGAGATACTGTATATGTATACCTTACCTAAGATAAGAGCATATACAGTATGTCAGAAAATAGTGGCTGACTAAAGGTATCAAGCAAGCAAGAAAAGAGTATGGTGTCTAAAAATAAATAAAACAGATGGCCCAGCAAAGAGCTAAATAATAATCAAAAGAAAAAAAATTAAATATATACAACTGGGCCCATAGGCCATAATGGTAAAAGAGAAAACAATGAGTCTCTAAGTGGGCAACAAACCATCCCACAAGTGAAGGTAAAGTGCTTAAATATGGCGCCCAGGGTCCTCCAAAGGCATTTGTGTTTAGATTCTAGATCTCAGAATTTGTTTATTGCATTGGTTATTGCTTCTGCCTGCTCTCTCTACAGAAGAGAACTTTGTTAAATGAAGATCCCCCTGAGGACTGCTTTCGGAGCCTCTCATTAGTAAGGCAATGGGGTTGGATCAGACACATGATTATGTATAAAATGTTGAATTGCTTCTCTAATTTGAGTGCAACATTCTTGGTTTGCTAGCAAGGAGTTGGTGAGATGCCATGTCCATTCCCACACTGGTGCAGAAGGGATAGTAAGAGAAAGGA